GGCATCCCGACGAGGAGCGTTGTTTTGCCGGTATTGTGCAAGTCTTCCCCCTTTTATGAGGGTCTCGATGGCGTCCTTGAGGTGGACGCAGTCTTCAGTCAGGTGCTCGTGGCTCCGGTGGTACTGGCAGTATTTGCTTCGGTCCACCCCGGGTTTGGCAGGAGCTGGACGGGGACGTTTGACGTCGCCGTCCTTGAAATCTGTACTTGCGCACTCTGCTAAGATGCGCTCACGGGAAGCCGTAAGTGGAGTGTATTTTGTGAACCTCCCCGAGGGTCCCCTTTGTTCTCGGGCGTCTCGGGGTTTATCGTCCCTTCTCTTTTCTCCAGTTCATCGAGGAGGGGCGATGTCTTGTCGCGGATTGCTACTGGATCCACGGTTTCTGGGGTCTCGGGCTCTGTTGGCCGCTTCTCTCTCCTCGTAGTCCATGTAGGCCATGGCCTTTTCGAGGAGGGCATCAAACGTCCGGGGTGGTTCGATGCCCACATCTTTTTTGAATTCGGTGTCGGGGAGGAGCCCCCTCTCTAGCAGGTATCTCTTCATATGGTCCGTGCAGGAGACCTGGGTGGCTTACCGGTTGAAGCGGTTAATGAATTCTCTCAAGGTCTCATCGTGCTTCTGGACGATGGCCTCGAGCGCTGCTTCGGTCTTCGGGTGTCATCGCAAAGCAGTGAACGAGCTGATGAACTAGTTCTTCAGGTTTCTCCAAGAGGTAATTGACCCCGGGGCGAGACCTTTGTACCAGTCCATAGCCGCTTTCCTCAGAGTCGTAGAGAACAACCAACATTTGATTGGTCCCCCAATGTTATGGTAGTGCAGCATGGCTTCGAACCCGTCTATATGGTCGACCGGGTCGGCGATACCACCGTACTCCTTTAAGTGGGGAGGCTTCTCCATGCCCGGGGGAATGGGCGCCTCCATGATAGCTTGTGACAAGGGACCGCATGGGTCGTTCTCGTCACTCTGTTCCGGAGAGCAGGATGGGGATCCGATGTAGTGGCGGTCATGGCGGCCCTGGTCGCGCGGAGCGTTCCTCGGGCGGTGTGACCGTTGATGGTTTCCCCCGTGTCTTTCTTCGGGGGGTCTTCGTTCTTTCCATGAGGGGCCATAGTCGCGCCTTCTCGCATCGACGAGCGATTCCCTCTCCAAAGGGGGTCATCGCCCGAGTGGTCGGGATGACGGGCTTCGAGAGATGCCCCGATTCTGTCTCTGCGGGGGAGATTGAGGACGTTCTTCCGCTTGTCGAGGGGGAGGAGATTGAGGTCTTTTGTTCCTTCTTTGGGGCCTTCGTTCGTCCTCGAGTGCTCTCAGTCTTTCCCCCTGGGCGAAAATAAGATAGTTAGTTTGGTTGATCGCCGCGAACAGTGCCCTGGTCGTGGCGTCTGCCCCGACGGGGACGGGGACCTCGTGGAATTGGACGGCTGGGTAGTTCAAAGGAATTGATCGATCTTCTTCAATTCGAGGAGGGATTGATGAAGAAGAAGCCGTGGCTCCGTTCAGGTAGTTAGAAGGTCCGGGGATGTTGACGCTAGGGACCGTATTATGGCCGGCGGTATCGGCATTGTCGAGGCCGACATTATTGTCGGTGATGTTGTTGTTAACGTCGATGACAGACGTTCTGGTTGTCTTGAGTTTGGTCAGCCCTGACAGTCGAGGATTGTTAGCTTTGGTCTTTTAAATGGAGAGAAGACGGGGAAGCTTAGTTTTCCACAGACGGCGCCACTGATCTGACCTGATCAGAGTTGGACTGTCACGGCTGGCTTCGGGCTGGATTTGAAGGAGATGGGGGGTATCTGCAAGACACTCTGATGGCAAAGTGAGAGACGGAATGAGCAAGTAAGTATGAATGTAGGTGTGAATGAATGAATACCTGACCCTCTCGAAAGAGAGGATATTTATAACCCCCATCGCTGGGCCAGAGTCTCTTTATTGGGCTGATCAAACAGGCCCAACAAAGAGACTGCCAGGTTCTACGTGAGTAGTGGGGACCCGCACGTGGCCCCCTACCTGGATGACACCCTCCGCAAGACAGAGAGGATAGAGACGCGATCTTTCCGGGACCATGAAGGCTCCGCCAAATTCGGGGAGGTTGAAAGTCAGCCTTACGAGGAGGGTGCTCGGAGGGAGCGCGTGCTCGTCGGGGACGTTCTTCGCGAGCACCGGCGAGAAGCAATCATAGTCGATCAGATACCTATGATCGAGGTGTACTCGGTGGGTATACTGCTCAGTACAACAGATTGGCAAGCTTGGATTAGGTCTTACTGGTGGTCGGGCCAAGGATAGACCCGGTCCAAAACAAATATCATATTAATGAATTACGCAACCCTATCAATAATTACATAACTTTCCAAGTGAGATTCTTTTTTACGTGTTCCCGACAATTTATATTATTATTATTATTATTATTATTATTATTATTATTATTATTATTATTATTATTATTATTATTATTATTATTATTATTATTATTATTATTATTATTATTAATTAGACATTTGTATAATAGTTATGAAATTTAACTTTTTTTCTAAACCTTTTAGTTTATGTGAAATGATAAGTTTAAAAGATCAAATACGTTAGTCGTTCTTATAAATATGTAAATCTTTAATTTTAATATTTTTAAAATTTTTCTTTAAATAATAGTATTTGTCAATTTTTTATTTTTTTAAGTTAGTGTCTCTTATTAGTTTATATTAACTGAGGCTTATGTGACACGTCACTCTTAAATCCCATCACTTAAAAATAGAAAAATATTTTAAATTATAGGAGTTTTAAACCTCCATAAATTTATCAATTTTTTTCATCTTCTTCGTACATTCCTCTCTCAATTATTTCATCAAACAATTGACGTACAATAAAAAATTTCATTTTCCCAATCATTTGTTTTCATAATCAACTTTGTTTCTTCACCATTACATCTAAAACTAAACTCAAACAAAATAAAACTTTCATTCATGAAAGAAACAAATTGAAATAAAACAATAGAACATCAATAAAAAAATGTCTTTGTTATAATTTACGGTGTAGGATACGGTATTACCAAAATTGAGAATTTATTATTCATTGTTATCATTTTATATATAGTCTTTTGAGACAATATAAAATATAAAAAAATAAAATGAAAACAATTTTTTATTTTAGAGTTAATTATCAATTTTCCGTCTAACATATAGATCGAGTATAAAAAATCTTCTGTAAAAAAAAAATCATTCTCTCTATGATATTTAAAGATTACATATTATTGATTTTTGATTAATCTCATTCACTCATTTTAGTGATGTGATAATGTCACATGACTGTGTCTTATAACTTCTTTTAATATGATGTGGTTGATTTCACGTGACTTTTTTTTCTTCATTTAAATCATAATTTTTAAAACTTAAAAGTCATTTTAAAACTATATAATTATTAAAAAAAATAAATTATTATACACAGTTAGTATATATTTGTTTATATAATTAGTGAATCACAAGTATTCATAAATTTAATTTTATAAATAATTAAAAATAAAATAAAAAATTAGTAATTAACAATGTAATATTTATTTACACTGTCGATATATATCAATTAAATTTATTATTAAAATTAAAAGAATTAATATGAAAACAAAATTATGGTTCAAGAGGATTCGAACTAGAGATGACAATGAGTACTCATGAGTACGAGTACTAATTTTAAATTACTCTTTATATTTAGTAAATATGATACACGTATGCGTCTCATATATATGTGGGTAGGAATGGCAAACGGACACGCCCGTCCCACAAAAACCTATAAAAAATAAAGCGGGACGAAGCGGGTATAATTGAGAATGAGTGTCTAAAACTTAGACTCGTCAGTGAGTGTGAGGCGGGAAAAGCCCGCTGACACTGCACCTTTTAAGCTAAAATACAAAATTTCATGATAGTGTCCGTGGCCACAAAATCCCGCAAAGAAAACGAGACGGGTAGGTCACGTTAGAGGATGAGAACGTAAATTCTTAGTCCATCCTACACTAAAGTGCAGGCAAAATAGACATGCTTAACGGACCGGATCCGTTTTGCCACCCCTATGCGTGAGTATTCGTTATACGAATATCTGTTGATTTTGAAATATCCACAGGTATATACAGGTATCCATGAATCCTCTAATTTAAACATTTTTTAAACAAAATATATAATAAACTAAATTTTTTTTATCTCATTTAAAGACACAAAAATAATTTCAAATTTAATATATAATAATAATAATAATAATAATAATAATAATAATAATAATAAAAATCACATTCATTTTATTTCTTTTTTTAAAATAATTATATATATTCGACAAAATAATACTAGTTTTATATTTATAATAATAATAATAATAATAATAATAATAATAATAATTTTAAATTAAATAAATTAATATTTAAATAATTTTATTAGTTATTAACAAATATAAATACGTACGAGTAGAGTATCATCAAATCAGTGTCTACACTCATAAGTAAATAGATAATTAAATATTTATTTATTTTATCTATAAATACTGATTAACCTATTCGACTTGTTCTCGTGACGGATTTTACCCTTATATCCATTATATCCACTGTACTTTTTTTTCCATCCCCTAATTCAAACCGTGAACTCTATTGAGATGTGGCTGATTCTATAATATCAATAATACTATCATCTAATTATTCATTTAACTTCAACTATTTATCTCTATGTAATAAACTACACATAAGAAAAATGTGTGATTTTAAAATAGTTGAAACTTGAAATCAACTTCCTTGCATATTTTTGCACATTCAACTATTTATCTCTACGTAATAAACTACACTAACATAAAAATGTGTGATTTTAAAATAGTTGAAACTTGAAATCAACTTCATTGCATATTTTTGCACATACATCACGTGTTAAAGTTGTAATAAATACTAGTACTATATAATCCCAAGTAAGATAACTTCCATAATCACAATTATTCAAAACAAAGTAGATAAGAACAAGAAACGTCCTAGAAAGAAAGAAAAAATGCCTTGCCTTTATCTCTCTACCAACGTTAACCTAGATGGAGTTAACATTGATCCCATCTTTACTCATGCCACAACTGCTATCTCCACTATCATAGGAAAACCAGAACAGGTATTGTTATATTCTTTATCTACATGTCTCTTTTCATTTTGCCCTAAGGTTGTGTGAAAATCCTTTTAGGGTTGGGCACTAATTCATATAAATTTTGGGTTTTTGTTGATTATGGTGTTTATCTAATATAACAAATTCACAATCTATGATAAATAGTTTCTATCAAGTTACTCAGACTTAGACCTTACACGAGATCACGTTGAATAATAAAATTGTTAATTAGGAGACCATAACATGAATAGTAAGATCCTATCAAATTTAAAAATTCTTATATATACATATGATAGACACAATATAATATAAAAAATTCAAATAACACTAAAATTACTTTAAAAAATATTTCAAAAATCTATACTTTAGAAAGTTACACAAATTATGATGTATTTTAGGAAATTGAATAAATCTTAATTATTGATTTAATGTGAGAGATTTAGATTTGGAGTGAATATATTTTAGAAAGTTGATTAAATTATTAATTATTGGGTGGGGTATTGATTATCCAAGTTAATAGGCAGAAACGGTTACAAAGTAATAGGAGAAAAGAATTGTTTCAATTTTTAATAAAAAGTAATTGTTTTTTAGAATATTTTTGAACCGGGTTGTGGACCTGACCCTCAAACCCGAATTTCAGGGGCTTTAAAAATAAAAACGATATTTTCAAATAGAAATTATGATCCCGCCATTTTCATGTAAAATCACGACGATTTTGTATATACCTACCAAAAACCGATTATATTCATTATTTGATATAATGGAGAGTTGCAAGATCGTAAAATTGTACGACGTAATTTTGACTATCATGATTTTTACTGAATTTTGATGTAAAATTTTGAATTATAGTTCAATTGTTTAGATTTGTCAAAATTTATCATAGGAAAGATCATTTCAATAGTATATATTATTATTATTATTATTATTATTATTATTATTATTATTATTATTATTATTATTATTTTTATTATTATTATTATTATTATTATTATTATTTTTATTACTTTTATTTTTATTATTCTTATTCTTATTTTTATTATTATTCTTATTATTATTATTATTATTTTTATTACTTTTATTTTTATTATTCTTATTCTTATTTTTATTATTATTCTTATTATTATAATAATAATAATAATAATTATTATTATTATTATTATTATTACTTATATTTTTTTTATTCTTATTCTTATTTTTATTATTATTCTTATTATTATTATTATTCTTATTATTATTATTATTTTATTATTATTATTATTTTATTATTATTATTATTATTTTCTTATTATTATCATTATTATTATTATTATTATTATTATTATTATTATTATTGAATTAAAGTAAAGAAGTGGGATGGATTAGGATTAATTATTCAATTTAATAATTGAAGATAAGAGATACCATGGATCTATCCAAATTCTTTATATATTTATCATGTGAAAAGGTACAAGATAGTGAAAGAAAGTGTCTCTAGTGAATGAACTTCACGACCAGTTTTAACGGTTCATCTTTATTCATAATTAATCTTAAACACATTTCATTAATATTGTTTAAATTATTTAACTTCAACTTGTCTATATGCATCAACATATAGAAATACATTTTCTTTCAATGTTGCATGTATTCTTGTGACTTTAATTATATTATTTTCATAGTAGTTTGTGTTAATAGTAAGTTCGCTTCTTGTTATTTGGGTGAGATTTGAATAATTTTTTTAAAAAAAATAAATAAATTTATCTCCTACCATTTATTGATTCTTTTGTTTTGGTCTCTCATGATACAAATCATCAAAGTCTTTGACGTGATATGTATTATGTAACTTTTTTTTTAATTTTTATAATTTTTAAATGACATGACTTTAATTTTTTATTTGTTATATTTTTTATAATTGTTATTTGGATTTTCTTCATCTTCCCTCTTCTTCTTCGCAAACCTACCGATGAATTTGAACAGTTTATAAGTTCTAAGTTAAACTTATCATTTGCTTGTAATAAATCTATTGAGACAGATAGGGGTATGCAAGTAAAGCTGATCGGAAAGAAAAAAGTCATGTTAGAGAAGACAAAGTGAGCGGCGGCTCACGGTGGTTTATGGCGGAAACCACCGTCTTCTTCGGCGAATTCACCGCCGCGACACCTCAAAAACCAAAACTCTCAACACTACCCCTCTTTTTCTGCACAAAAATCGAATTCAAACTCAGGTTTTTCAAATTCTTCTTCAATCGTACAGATGGAAGTCTCCTTAGATCAAAAACCTAAATGAACAAGAAGAACCAAACAACAAACCTTAATTCCCTCCCAAACCATGCACTTCCCTCCCAATCCTATAATTCTCCAACAAAGAACAACCAGACAACAACAAACCAAAGTATACTCATCCGGCTTAACACAAACTCTTATCATCATCTCCTCAAAATCCCGGAAACAACAACTTACAAAATCCGCACGCACAAACCCCTTAATCGTCATATTAACATTCCCAAAAACACAATACGAATTCGATAGAGCATTGTTAACATAAACATCGGAGTCATACCCATTTCTCACAACATGGCAATGAACTTGAAGACTCATTTTAAGAGTATGACTTATCAACAAATTAGCACATGATTTGAGGAGGAAAGGGAAAGTGAATGAATCAGGGGATATAGAAGACGCCAACATTATTATTTTTGGAATATGTAAATGAAATAAGTTAATTCTTTTTTATTCTTATTGGAGATAAAACCATATATGGATTGAACAATTTCAAAGATATATTTACTAGTATTTGTAAAATTTACAAATTAATTTATCCTTTTGATCATCAATTTACACATTCATCCCATTTTGAAAATGTGATCTAATTTAAAGAATATATGTTGAATGAAAATTTGCAGTTTGTGATGGTTTTATTGAAGGGTTCAGTTCCATTAATGTTTGGACAAAACAAAGAACCAGCTGCATACGGTGAACTAGTTGCAATGGGTGGCATAAATTCAAAAGTGAAGAAGGAACTAATTCATACCATTGGGACAATATTGGAGAAGAACCTATCTATACCAAGAACAAGATTTTTTCTCAAAGTCTTTGACACAACGCTTCTTAAACGTGATAAGACTCACTCCAAACTCTAGTGATTCTCTCATGTTTCGTCTGCATATTCTCTAATAATAATTTATGAGTGCATTGTAACGAGTGTATTAAATACCCTATATGCCATGCCCTTTACATCATAATAAATAAATGTGGCTACGATCTGTATAACAAGAAGTATTAGATAATTTTTTTTACTTCACCGTATTTGATTATCGATGTACTGAATAATTTTTTTTATTCAATTTTATTTGATATGCCTATGCACCGGGTAAAATAATGTACTTTTTACTATAATATAAAATACGTAAAGATTAATGTAAAAAATTTAAATTTAAGAGAAAGAAAGAGACTTAATTGTGGATTGAATGATATTGTCATATAGATCATATGTACCGTTTGTGACTAATCTATAATGATTTCTTATGTCATAGAACTACATCAAAATTAACAGAATATAAAAATATATTTTTTACATTAATCTTTACGTATTTTGACAGCTTAGGAAATCATTATAGATTAATCTCAAATATATATATATATATATATATATATATATATATATATATATATATATATATATATATATATATATATATATATATATATATATATATATATATATATATATATATATATATATATATCTTTTAGACAACATCATTATTTCGTTCAGGAACCATAAATGAATATAGTTGAAGGACTGATGGTCTTGAATGGTGGCTATAATCTCTTTCACATTGGTGCAGGATGGAACTGCATGATTAGCACTTCAATGCCTAAGTCAGTTAAAGATTCAAGATAAATATCGTGAAAAAGTGAAAATTAGAGAGTGCACTCCTAGTTCTCGTGTAAATCGATTTTTATACATTAGGTTAGGTAGAGTGTAAACTGATTTTTTAAACTAATGATTTTGACCTGGAAAAGGTGTATGGGAACTCCCTACATGAGAGGGCTTCTTCAGTGGATTCTCTTAAATTTCTCATATCAGATGATGATGGTGAAGAGGAGAATCCCACTGATGGTCCCATGCCTCCTCCTATCCTGACTGAGGTGAAGATACAAGTTGTCAAGTAGAGGGGGAGTGCGCTAGTGACTTTGTCCAAATTCATCGAAAGATGTATGATCGCGGTCCTAGCGGCGTTGGGATCATATGGAGCACTGGGGTAGATTAGACATAATATATTGGATTAAGCTTAGCAAACACTCTAAGATTGACGAGTTGACCAAGAAATGAGTAAAATTAGTGGAGTCGGTAGACGTTATTAAATACCATTAGGTAGCCGCTGAAGTGGTAGGGACCCGGTCTATTTCGAACATTAAAGAAACCATAATTATTGTTGATATAACGATCTAAAATATGTTCAATTGGTTGATTCTTCCTATGGATCCAACAAAAAGGGTATTCATCTCTTTTAAAAGTTGCTCGATTCCGCTCTATGAGTGTCTTTTTACTAGATTGGGAGTACAAATGCCCTTTTATGATTTTAAGGTAGTCGTCTCGAATCATCTAAAGGTGGCCCTTTCTTAACTTCATTTGGATGTCTGGGCCTACATGAAGGTATTCCAGCTTTGTGTAGAGCGTTAGTTTTGGAATCCGTGCGTAAGGGTATTCTCTGACTTGTTCTACATGGTGCAAGTATAATATGGGGGTGTAGGTTAGGCCCATTAAGAACTGATATATAAGGAGAAGCTAACACAAGGATTTATTTTAGTTGGAGAATAAGGATTCTGTATGCTGACCGGTAGAGCTGCACGGACGAGGAGCAAGTTGCTCGATCTTAAGATAGAGCAAATCAAGGATTACGGCCAGAGCTTTGGTGGAGTGACCTTCAATCCAGGTAAGGGTGGAGTTATGGCCTTATAATGGGACTTATGATGAGTATTATGTGGGAATTGTCCGTTTATAAACATGATGTGCGTTGATGTTTTTGAATTTCTATAGAAGTTTCCCATTTTATTCATGTTGTGGTCGTTGGGAAGAATACTATATGACTGGTTAATGGAGATGTTACAGGGAGTTGCTTGATTGTGTGTTGTAGATGTATGGTGTATCTGTGTGACGTCCCGGTTAATCGATGGATAGGTTAGGATAGTTGATTTCTTGTTGTTAGGACGTTAGATTATTCCGAGCAATTGGCAGGAAAAGTTGATAATTGTTGAAGTGGTCGTTTTAGGGAGGTTCGGTGTGGCTGTCTTGTATGTTGATGAATCTGTCGATAGTGATATAGTTTCCCGTTGCTGCGTTATTTCGAGCGGTTGGCCGGATGTTAGGAATTATAGTGGTGTGGTCGTTAAGATGTTGTGTTGTGTAGGTGATGTTGGCCAAACTAGTGGTTGAGGAGGATGCTGATGGTGTTAAGTACCGAGCAGCAAATTAGGATGTGAGGCGTGTCAGGGAGGGTATGTGCTGCATTATCGAGTAGTATTAGGTTGCAGGGCTTGTCGAGGAGCATAAGTTGGTCGTTACCCTGTTTACCGACTTTTGTTTTGGTCTCTCATGATACAAACCATTATAATTTTTTTTTAATTTTTATAATTTTTAAATGATGTGGCTTTAATTTTTTATTTGTTATATTTTTTATAATTATAATTTGGATTTTCTTCATCTTCTTCATCTTCCCTCTTCTTCATTTTCTTCTTCATAAACCTACCGATGAATTTTAACAGTTTATAAGTTCTAAGCTAAACTTATCATTTGCTTGTAATAAATCTATTGAGACAGATCGGGGTATGCAAGTAAAGCTGATCGTAAAGAAAAAAGTCATACCAGAGAAGACAAAGTGAGCGGCGGCTCACGGTGATTTATAGTGGAAACCACCGTCTTCTTCGGCGAATTCACCGATGCGACACCTCAAAAACCAAAACTCTCAACACCACCCCCTCTTTTTCTGCACAGAAATCATATTCAAACTCAGATTTTTCAAATTCTTCTTCAATCGTACAGATCGAAGCCTCCTTAAATCAAAAACCTAAATGAACAAGAAGAACCAAACAACAAACCTTAATTCCCTCCCAAACCATGCACTTCCCTCCCAATCCTATAATTCTCCAACAAAGAACAACCAGACAACAACAAACCAAAGTATACTCATCCGGCTTAACACAAACTCTTATCATCATCTCCTCAAAATCCCGGAAACAACAACTTACAAAATCCGCACGCACAAACCCCTTAATCGTCATATTAACATTCCCAAAAACACAATACGAATTCGATAGAGCATTGTTAACATAAACATCAGAGTCATACCCATTTCTCACAACATGGCAATGAACCTGAAGACTCATTTTAAGAGTATGACTTATCGACAAATTAGCACATGATTTGAGGAGGAAAGGGAAAGTGAATGAATCAGGGGATATAGAAGACGCCAACATTATTTATTTTTGGAATATGTAAATGAAATAAAGTTAACTTTTTTTATTCTTATTAGAGATAAAACCATATATGGATTGAACAATTTCAAAGATATATTTACTAGTATTTGTAAAATTTACAAATTAATTTAACCTTTTGATCATCAATTTTTCACATTCATCCCATTTTGAAAATGTGATCTAATTTAAAGAATATATGTTGAATGAAAATTTGCAGTTTGTGATGGTTTTATTGAAGGGTTCAGTTCCATTAATGTTTGGACAAAACAAAGAACCAGCTGCATACGGTGAACTAGTTGCAATGGGTGGCATAAATTCAAAAGTGAAGAAGGAACTAATTCATACCATTGGGACAATATTGGAGAAGAACCTATCTATACCAAGAACAAGATTTTTTCTCAAAGTCTTTGACACAACGCTTCTTAAACGTGATAAGACTCACTCCAAACTCTAGTGATTCTCTCATGTTTCGTCTGCATATTCTCTAATAATAATTTATGAGTGCATTGTAACGAGTGTATTAAATACCCTATATGCCATGCCCTTTACATCATAATAAATAAATGTGGCTACGATCTGTATAATAAGAAGTATTAGATAATTTTTTTTACTTCACCGTATTTGATTATCGATGTACTGAATAATTTTTTTTATTCAATTTTATTTGATATGCCTATGCACCGGGTAAAATAATGTACTTTTTACTATAATATAAAATACGTAAAGATTAATGTAAAAAATTTAAATTTAAGAGAAAGAAAGAGACTTAATTGTGGATTGAATGATATTGTCATATAGATCATATGTACCGTTTGTGACTAATCTATAATGATTTCTTATGTCATAGAACTACATCAAAATTAACAGAATATAAAAATATATTTTTTACATTAATCTTTACGTATTTTGACAGCTTAGGAAATCATTATAGATTAATCTCAAATTATATATCTTTTAGACAACATCATTATTTCGTTCAGGAACCATAAATGAATATAGTTGAAGGACTGATGGTCTTGAATGGTGGCTATAATCTCTTTCACATTGGTGCAGGATGGAACTGCATGATTAGCACTTCAATGCCTAAGTCAGTTAAAGATTCAAGATAAATATCGTGAAAAAGTGAAAATTAGAGAGTGCACTCCTAGTTCTCGTGTAAATCGATTTTTATGCATTAGGTTAGGTAGAGTGTAAACTGATTTTTTAAACTAATGATTTTGACCTGGAAAAGGTGTATGGGAACTCCCTACATGAGAGGGCTTCTTCAGTGGATTCTCTTAAATTTCTCATATCAGATGATGATGGTGAAGAGGAGAATCCCACTGATGGTCCCATGCCTCCTCCTATCCTGACTGAGGTGAAGATACAAGTTGTCAAGTAGAGGGGGAGTGCGCTAGTGACTTTGTCCAAATTCATCGAAACATGTATGATCGCGGTCCTAGCGGCGTTGGGATCATATGGAGCACTGGGGTAGATTAGACATAATATATTGGATTAAGCTTAGCAAACACTCTAAGATTGACGAGTTGACCAAGAAATGAGTAAAATTAGTGGAGTCGGTAGACGTTATTAAATACCATTAGGTAGCCGCTGAAGTGGTAGGGACCCGGTCTATTTCGAACATTAAAGAAACCATAATTATTGTTGATATAACGATCTAAAATATGTTCAATTGGTTGATTCTTCCTATGGATCCAACAAAAAGGGTATTCATCTCTTTTAAAAGTTGCTCGATTCCGCTCTATGAGTGTCTTTTTACTAGATTGGGAGTACAAATGCCCTTTTATGATTTTAAGGTAGTCGTCTCGAATCATCTAAAGGTGGCCCTTTCTTAACTTCATTTGGATGTCTGGGCCTACATGAAGGTATTCCAGCTTTGTGTAGAGCGTTAGTTTTGGAATCCGTGCGTAAGGGTATTCTCTGACTTGTTCTACATGGTGCAAGTATAATATGGGGGTGTAGGTTAGGCCCATTAAGAACTGATATATAAGGAGAAGCTAACACAAGGATTTATTTTAGTTGGAGAGTAAGGATTCTGTATGTTGACCGGTAGAGCTGCACGGACGAGGAGCAAGTTGCTCGGTCTTAAGATAGAGCAAATCAAGGATTACGGCCATAGCTTTGGTGGAGTGACCTTCAATCCAGGTAAGGGTGGGGTTCTGGCCTTATAATGGGACTTATGATGAGTATTATGTGGGAATTGGCCGTTTATAAACATGATGTGCGTTGATGTTTTTGAATTTCTATAGAAGTTGCCCATTTTATTCATGTTGTGGTCGTTGGGAAGAATACTATATGACTGGTTAATGGAGATGTTACAGGGAGTTGCTTGATTGTGTGTTGTAGATGTATGGTGTATCTGTGTGACGTCCCGGTTAATCGATGGATAGGTTAGGATAGTTGATTTCTTGTTGTAAGGACGTTAGATTATTCCGAGCAATTGGCAGGAAAAGTTGATAATTGTTGAAGTGGTCGTTTTAGGGAGGTTCGGTGTGGCTGTCTTGTATGTTGATGAATCTGTCGATAGTAATATAGTTTCCCGTTGCTGCGTTATTTCGAGCGGTTGGCCGGATGTTAGGAATTATAGTGGTGTGGTCGTTAAGATGTTGTGTTGTGTAGGTGATGTTGGCCAAACTAGTGGTTGAGGAGGATGCTGATGGTGTTAAGTACCGAGCAGCATATTAGGATGTGAGGCGTGTCGGGGAGGGTATGTGCTGCATTATCGAGTAGTATTAGGTTGCAGGGCTTGTCGAGGAGCATAAGTTGGTCGTTACCCTGTTTACCGACTTTTGTTTTGGTCTCTCATGATACAAACCATTATAATTTTTTTTTTAATTTTTATAATTTTTAAATGATGTGGCTTTAATTTTTTATTTGTTATATTTTTTATAATTATAATTTGGATTTTCTTCATCTTCTTCATCTTCCCTCTTCTTCATTTTCTTCTTCATAAACCTACCGATGAATTTTAACAGTTTATAAGTTCTAAGCTAAACTTATCATTTGCTTGTAATAAATCTATTGAGACAGATCGGGGTATGCAAGTAAAGCTGATCGTAAAGAAAAAAGTCATACCAGAGAAGACAAAGTGAGCGGCGGCTCACGGTGATTTATAGTGGAAACCACCGTCTTCTTCGGCGAATTCACCGCTGCGACACCTCAAAAACCAAAACTCTCAACACCACCCCCTCTTTTTCTGCACAGAAATCGTATTCAAACTCAGATTTTTCTAATTCTTCTTCAATCGTACAGATCGAAGCCTCCTTAAATCAAAAACCTAAATGAACAAGAAGAACCAAACAACAAACCTTAATTCCATCCCAAACCATGCACTTCCCTCCCAATCCTATAATTCTCCAACAAAGAACAACCAGACAACAACAAACCAAAGTATACTCATCCGGCTTAACACAAACTCTTATCATTATCTCCTCAAAATCCCAGAAACAACAACTTACAAAATCCGCACGCACAAACCCCTTAATCGTCATATTAACATTCCCAAAAACACAATATGAATTCGATAGAGCATTGTTAACATAAACATCAGAGTCATACCCATTTCTCACAACATGGCAATGAACCTGAAGACTCATTTTAAGACTATGACTTATCGACAAATTAGCACATGATTTGAGGAGGAAAGGGAAAGTGAATGAATCAGGGGATATAGAAGACGCCAACATTATTTATTTTTGGAATATGTAAATGAAATAAAGTTAATTTTTTTTATTCTTATTAGAGATAAAACCATATATGGATTGAACAATTTCAAAGATATATTTACTAGTATTTGTAAAATTTACAAATTAATTTAACCTTTTGATCATCAATTTACACATTCATCCCATTTTGAAAATGTGATCTAATTTAAAGAATATATGTTGAATGAAAATTTGCAGTTTGTGATGGTTTTATTGAAGGGTTCAATTCCATTAATGTTTGGACAAAACAAAGAACCAGCTGCATACGGTGAACTAGTTGCAATGGGTGGCATAAATTCAAAAGTGAAGAAGGAACTAATTCATACCATTGGGACAATATTGGAGAAGAACCTATCTATACCAAGAACAAGATTTTTTCTCAAAGTCTTTGACACAACGCTTCTTAAACGTGATAAGACTCACTCCAAACTCTAGTGATTCTCTCATGTTTCGTCTGCATATTCTCTAATAATAATTTATGAGTGCATTGTAACGAGTGTATTAAATACCCTATATGCCATGCCCTTTACATCATAATAAATAAATGTGGCTATGATCTATATAACAAGAAGTATTAGATAATTTTTTTTACTTCACCGTATTTGATTATCGATGTACTGAATAATTTTTTTTATTCAATTTTATTTGATATGCTTATGCACCGGGTAAAATAATGTACTTTTTATTATAATATTTAATATTCTTTATTGTTATGTAAAAAATTTAAATTTAAGAGAAAGAAAGAGACTTAATTGTGGATTGAATGATAGTGTCATATAAATCATATATATAAAGTTCGTGACTAATTTATAATGATTTTCTATGTCACAGAACTACATCAAAATTAACGGAATATAAAAGTATATATTTTACATTAATCTTTACGTATTTTTACGGCTTAGAAAATCATTATAAATTAATCTCAAATTATATATATATATATATATATATATATATATATATATATATATATATATATATATATATATATATATATATATATATATATATATATATATATATATATATATATATATCTTTCAGACAACATCATTATTCCGTTCAGGAACCATAAATGAATATAGTTGAAGGACTGATGGTCTTGAATGGTGGCTATAATCTCTTTCACATTGGTGCAGGATGGAACTGCATGATTAGCACTTCAATGCCTAAGTCAGTTAAAGATTCAAGATAAATATAGTGAAAAAGTGAAAATTAGAGAGTGCACTCCTAGTTCTCGTGTAAATTGATTTTTATACATTAGGTTAGGTAGAGTGTAAACCGATTTTTTAAACTAATGATTTTGACCTGGAAAAGGTGTATGGGAACTCCCTATATGAGAGGGCTTCTTCACTGGATTCTCTTAAATTTCTCATATCAGATGATGATGGTGAAGAGGAGAATCCCACTGATGGTCCCATGCCTCCTCCTATTCTGAATGAGGTGAAGATACAAGTTGTCAAGCAGAGGGGGAGTGCGCTAGTGACTTTGTCCAAATTCATCGAAAGATGTATGATCGCGGTCCTAGCGGCGTTGGGATCATATGGAGCACTGGGGTAGATTAGACATAATATATTGGATTAAGCTTAGCGAACACTCTAAGATTGACGAGTTGGCTAAGAAATGAGTAAAACTAGCAGAGTCGGTAGACGTTATTAAATACCATGGGTAGCCGTTGAAGTGGTAGGGACTCGGTCTATTTCGAACATTAAAGCAACCATAATTATTGTTGATATAACGATCTAAAATA